GGCTTAAATCTTTCTCAGGTAGAAGGTGATCAACTTCGAAAGCTCCAGGTACTGCTGAGAGCAGATGGATCCACCACAGTCCAGGTCCACATTTGAATCCAAGGACTCCCTTTGCTCATTTCACCATCCCAACAGCACTTTCAATGTCAGAACACCTCTGCCTTTCTTCATCAATCCTATAACACAGAGATGCTCTAGGACAGGTTTGCATCCTGGATTGAAGCTCCCAGCTTGGACTGAAATCTCAGGGAGACTCCCAAGTGTCCTTCTGATGGCACTGGATGAAGGGAGATGCAGCTCCTTCCCTGGCTGCACTGCCAGCATTGCCCAGAGCCGGGCACTGGGGACAGCTGTGTCACCCTGAGCCAGCTGTGCCCCCTGCCAGAGCCCCCAGTGCCGGGCAGCTGCTCCCAGCCCTGTGCTCTGCAGAGGGAACTGGGCCCGGGGCTGCAGAGCTGCCCCACGGCTCTGCTGCAGCTCTGCCTGCACAGGAGGGGCTGCACGCCTTGGAGCCCCGGCCCTGAGGGCAGAGGCTTGGCTGGGGCACAGGAGGGAGGGGGCTTGTGCAGAGGGAGGGGCTGCACTGGAGGGAATCCTGTGGAGATCTCTGAACTCTGCCTGCCACGGTATTTCTGGGTTTGTTTTCTCTCATTGCCTGGTCTTCTCTCTGCTTCCTGGAGATTTTCCTCCTGCAGGTGTTTCCCTGTGCCTGATCTCTCCCTGCCAGCTCTCACAGACCCCAAATCTCTGTGACCTCTCCTTGGCCTGACAGAACCCTGCCTGTTTGCAGGGCACTGGCTGGGGGCAGGTTCTGTTTGCAGCTTGGAGAAAAGACAGCTCAGTCTGAGCCAAATGGCTCCAGCAAAAGTGATGCTGGTGCTGTCCATGGGCAGAGTGGCTGAAAGCACAATAGGGATCTCCTGTGAACCTATTGATCACTAAAATTAACAGTTCAGATGTCTCAGGCACTTGTCAAAATTAATAATCATCAGTTAATATTTATCTCCCCTCCCTGCCATTCTCCAATAGTAGGAAACTGAATACAATGTCTTTGGAAATTTCCACATTTTTATCAAAATCCTTGTCTTGGAAATATTCTATGACTGATCAAAATCCGTCAGCATGTCAGAGCTTCATGAGCATTTCACCTCCCCTGCACCAGAAATACTCAGGGTTGTACTCACAGGGTCTGTGGGCATTGGGATGTTCCAGCTTTAGGAGATCACTCCAGGAGCTGCAGCTGCATTGTCCTGCAGCCAGAGGTTCCTGTGCCAAGGGCTGGCAGTGATTCTGCCCCAGGCACTTCTCAGCCCCTTCCCAGCCCTGACTGATTGAAGCTCTCTGTGCCTCTGTGCTGTGCCCGGGCTGGCTGCAGGCAGTGCCCCAGCCCTGCTGGGCTGGGAGAAGAGCTGCTCAGCAAGAGAAATGTGCTTTTCAATCTTTTCTTGGTTGTCAGGAGCTGCTTCTGTGCCAGGAGCCCGGCCCAGCTCAGCAGCACAGACACAGCACAAGGACTTTAATGACCCTCTGGGGCTTTGTGCTGAGGCCCTGTCGGGTTTGACGCGGAAAATAATTTTCTCGGAAGGAAGAGGTCAATCCGCCAGGGGTCAGGGTTGGATATTGACACTTGGGGTGACCAATTGAGGGTGGACACGCCTCTGAGAACACAGAGGGGTTAAAAGCAGAATTCCCAGGAGAACTTTCTCTCTCTTTGGTTCTGGTCAGGGTGCAGTGCAGACTCTCACCTGCCCAGCCCGTGGCTGGGTGGGGGAGGGGAAGCCATGTGGCCTGGCTGAGGTAAGGCCGAAGGATGGAGGGACTGGAACTGGGCTGTCCCACTGCAGATGAAGGGTGGAGGAAATCTGGGATGTTTGCGTTTTCCCCCAGAATCTCTCTCTCAAGAAAGAAAGGGACAGTGACAGTGCCGACAGTACTCTGGCAGAGAAGGAAGGGGGGGGAAGTGTGCTCAGTGTGGGAGCTGGAGCCTGGGCCAAGAGCCATCCAGGGAGTCGGGACTTTTAACCCTTCCTTGAGAAATGAAAGCTTTGTGAAAACATTATTCCTCCTTGGTTTGAAAGAGAGGAAGAGAGACAGCCTGGGACCTGGGATGTTAGGGAAAGAAGACTGGGGGGGAATATGGTGGAGTGGCTTTTGGCTGGACTTTTCCTTGTTAGCCATAGACTGAACCAATTTTCTCCTCCAAGAGAGAGACTGTATTTTAGGAGAATGCGTGGTGAGCCAAGAGACCTGCTTCATCAACTACCAGTTCAGGAATGAACAGAGAAAGTTGAGGAGGGTGTGATGGTGCCCTCTGTCTTCAGGAAGATGGAGATCTCTGTTTTCACCCTCGGCCCCAGGGGAGGAAGAAAATGGGGGGGACTGTAGTTCCAAAATGAGACACTGGACTGTTGTTCCTGTTGGTCCTTGGCAAAGCCTCCTTAAAGGAGCCCTATGAGCAGTCTGTCCATGCACGGTGGTGAGAGCACTGTGACATGGAGAGGAGAGTGTCACGCTGGCAGATTCGCTCCAGGCAGTGCCATGTGTGACATGAAAACACAAGAAGTGGCAGCTGTGTTTCCTGGGGGTCTGTGGTGCAAGGGAGACTCCTCTCTCCCCTGATGGACTTAGTATTGATTATATTGAAGGGTGAATTCTTGATTAAGGGTCCAAGTCGTGTCTCACTGTGGTTTGTGTTTGTTGTGGTTTGGTGGTGGGAGGAGGAATGTTTTGAAAGGTTTTCATTTTGAATATTGTGTGTGTTTTTCTTTATTTTTTCTTTTATAGTAGTATAGTAGTAGTAGCTTAATAAAGTTTTTTTTTCCTTTGTTATTAAGCTTGGGCCTGCTCTGCTCTGTTCTTGATCGCATTTCACAGCATTCAATTGAGAGGTTGCATTTTCATGGGGGCGCTGGCATTGTGCCAGTGTCAAACAGTGACATGAGGCTTTGGTTACAGATTATGTGTGAACAATCCAGAACGTCCTGACATCTTAATGAATTTGTATCTTGGGTATTTTGGCCTTGCCCACACAAGCTAGAAAATTAAGGAAAACATGCACAAGGATTGAGAAAACACAGTGCAATTTAGGGCCCATTAAAGAAAATGGTGGTTCAATTGCCTATATGTTTTACCCAGAGATGACCCAAACAATTGCTGCTGAAGAACTTATACCATTAACTTGATTACAAATTTTCAAAGGCAAGTAGAGTTGCTCTTCCTGCTCAAATAATTTAACAGGATTCTTGCTATTAGCAATTAAATTATTATTTGATTCCAGCTTAATATGATTTCAGAGATTCATTATAGCTCTAAAACTGTAGAATACTGTATGCTTTGTGGATAAAAAGACCAGAGAACTGTTAACCATTTTAGGGATTTATGTCTATCTTATTGATTGGTCAGGGTAATATGTGAGCTCCTGTGAAATCCTTTTACAAAACATTACAGTTTATCATACTTAACTTGAAAGGATTCCCTGTCTTTACCAGGTGTTGATTGCAGAGAATCACAGAATCAATTAGGTTGTAAGAGATCTCTGAGAGAATTTCATCAAGCTTTGGACCAAACACCACCTTGTCAAGCAGACCAGAGCACTGAGCGTCACGTCCAGCTGGTCCTTGAACACCCTCAGAGAAGGTGGCTCCACCACCTCCCAGGGCAGGGCCTTCCAATGTTTAACAATCCTTTCTGTGAAGAAATTCCTCCTGATGTGCAACTTAACCTCCCTAGCACAGCTTAAGACCGTGTCCTCTTGTCCTGTCACTGTGAGGAGAGCCCGGTCCCCATCTAAGTACAACCTGTCAGGCTGGTGTAGAGAGTGATGACATTCTCTGTTGCCCTGATTTTTAAAAGTGTGAAGTTTTCCTTTATAGTTCTTTTGAAAGCTTTAAAGCTCCTTTAAAAGTTTTCTATGCCTTCTGATGCTTACATATTTCTACTGGAGTTCTCACACACTGTTCACGTAAATAATGATTGTTTTGCATTCTTCTTTGCGGGAGGAGAGAATTGATGGACTGTTGGTTTGACCAGTGTGGTTAGAGAGGTGGTAATTTCATCCTCCAATCCGCTGTCACTTTTAGAATTCTATATATTGCAAAGTCAGAAATTAAATTAGCTCTTTTTCTCTTTTGAACTTACCAAGCTTCTGTGTACTCATTTCATGTCCAATAGCGACAGTTCCCCCTGGGCCTCCTTTGCTCAAGACTGAACCCTCCCCAGCTCTCTGTTCTCTCAGCCATTTCTCATCAGACTTGTTCTCTAGACCCTTAATCAACTTCCTTTCTCTTCTCTGGACTTGCTCCAGCACCTCAATGTCCCTCTTTGGATGAGAAGCTGGGTCAGAGGCGGACCTGCTGGAGGGCAGGAAGGCTGCAGAGGGCCCTGGACTGGCTGGATCCATGGGCTGACGCCACTGGCAAGTGCTGGCTCGTACACTTTGGCCACACTCACCCTCTGCATCGCCCAGCTGTGGAAAGAGTGGCTGGGAAGCTGACTGACAACAGCTGAACCTGAGCCCAGGTGTGCCCAGGTGGACAAAAAGGCCAATAGCACTGGGCCTGTATCAGCAGTAGTGTAGCCATCAGGATCAGGGCAGCGATTGTCCTTCTGTGCTGGGCATTGGTGAAGCCACACCTCGAGGGCTGTGTCCCTTTCTGAGCCCCTCAATAATAATTAAAGTTTCTCTAGCAATTGCTTTATTCATTATTTGCCTCCCTTCCCTGCCCGGCTGTGACTGGAACTACACCAAAGGGAAAGTGCCTGCAGCCGAGGGAAGGCTGGGCTTGGGTCTCTGGTTCTGTTTGTCCTTGCTGCCGGTGGTGTTGGTTGTTTGCCTTGTACATACTGGTAAAGAACTGACACTCCTTTTCCCACATCTTTGCCTGAAAGCCCCTTAATTTCAAAGTTATAATAATTTGTAGGGAAGGGGGATCTCATTCTCCATTCCAGAGAGGTCTGGCAGACACCTGTCTTTCAAACCAAGACAAGCTGACAATTAACAATTTATTAGCAATTGTTTATTAACAGTTAACGGACAATTATCAATTACTTATCAATCTAATCAACAATTAGTTAATCAACTTAGGTAAGAGGGAGGTGCTCACTGGAACGTGGGAGGGTAGCTGCAGAGGTCTCTGGTGAAGGGTGGGAGACCACCAGCAGCAGAAGGTAGGATGTCACCAGCTCCTGCCGCACGCTCCAGCTGACACAAATGTTGTCACTCAAGTGTTGGTCTTTAGAGCACCTCCTTCTTGGGTCCCTGGCCTTACTCTGTCTCTTCTAATGGTTTATCCAGACTGTCCTTCTCCTGGGCTCTGCCTTCCAAAGTCACCTGCCCCATCTTCTCACCTGGCTGCAGGTTAGGAATCCTAGGAAGAGAGGGACTGGTATTAGCCAGAGGAACATTCCCAGCCCGCCGCTTTTCTGTCTCCTTGCAGGGCACACAGTGTTGCATCCTGTCTCTGTGCAAGCAGCGAGCAGCAGATTTAACAGCTGCACTAGCTGCATGGAGGCTGCAGAGATGCAAGGGCAGGAACATGACCAGTTAAATGCCCGGGGACCAACTACAGCACATGGGGTTCCATGTGGAGAAGCAGGCCTTGCTTGTCCCAAAAGGAAGCAGAGCTGGGGACTGGCTGGTCCCTGGATCTCTTGTTGCAGATTTTGCAACCCTCCACAAGCTTACTGTTTCATACAGTGTCTTTTCCCAGTGCCTCCCTGCCAAGGGGTGAAAGATGATGATGAAAGATGAGGATCTTTCTGTGCTCCTGTGGGTGTTTCTGCTGCCTCCCTGGGGCTCCCCATCCCAGTCAGAGGGACTGAAGGGAGGGTGTTGGGGGGTGAACCAGGCTGGGCTTGGTGATGCCCAGCAACAGGGCAAGAGGCAACAGGCAGAACCTGAACAAGACAATTCCACCTGAACCTGAGGAAGAACTTCTTTCCTGTGAAGGTGATAAGTTGCGCAGAGAGGGTGTGGAGTGTCCCTCACTGGAATTATTCCAGAGTCCTCTGGACACAACCCTGTGCCACGTAGTCTGGGATGACCCCGCTTCAGCAGGGAAGTGGCACCAGATGACCTAGCGTGGTCCTTCCCACCCTGTCCCACCCTGTGATTCAGTGATACCCATCAGTAGCATGAGTTGGCAAGCGTGGAGATATTTCCCACCTGCACAGCAGGGTGGTCTTAAACTTCCCCAGGCACTCTGGGAAGAACTGCACGTCAAAGGTCTCCTTCTGGCCAGGAGCAATGATGCCACAGTAGGGGTTGATTGAGAACAGGTCATGGACAACATCTGGAAAAACTTCTAGGGAGGTGCTGACACGGTCCTCCTGCTCAGAATACTGCTGCTGCTCAAAATCCAGCTCCTGCACGAAATCCAGCTCCTGCACGGAATCCTGCTCGGAATCCTGCTCGGAATCCAGCTCCTGCTCAGAATCCTGCTGCCACTTGGAATCTGGCTCCTGCTGCTGCTCAGAATCCTGCTGCTGCTCAGCAGGCCGCCGCAGCCTCCGCACTTTAGGATGTGTCTCCGAAGGATGGTCCTGCTCCGACCAGAAAAGACGCAGCAGCTTTCTGCGATGCTTTACAGTATCATAGGAGAGGAACCGACCTGCAGGGAGGAAGAGGATACCTTCCAAAGACAAAATCCTGTGTTCCCAGCAACTCTGCCTCCTGCTGCAGGTAGGTGGAAGAGAGCTGGGATGCACTTGGAGAATCTCTGGTCAAGTACTTTATTCTAGCAGGAGACAGAGTGTCGGGAGCAGGGTCTCTGCCTGAGCACACACTCCTGCGCCAAAGCAGGAAAGCTGGTTTCAGACAGTGACTTTGCGTTTGCCCTGGAGTGGGGAACTGCACACAGACAGTGGCTGCAGGGCAGCTCACTCGTTACACCACTGTTTTTCCCGGTCTCAGACTTCTCAAAGAGATGACCTGGTGTCCCCCTTCCTAGTCCTGACCCGGCACGTGGCTCTCCCCAGAGCCTGGCTCAGCTGCTTTGCAGAGCAGAAGTGGCTCAGCAAGAACAGAAGGGGCTGAAAGGCAGAGGGGGACAAGGAGAAAACTCTCCAGCTGCAGCTGGGAAGGTGCTGATGAAAGTGGATGCGTGGACAAGGATGAAAAAGCAATTCATGTTTTGAACTGAAGTGGCAGGGTCTTCTCCCCGGGCCCTCAGCTACCAAGTGAAATGCTCTTACGCATCAGAGTGGTTGAGTATGGCTTCTTCAGCTTCTTCACTGGTTCACTCCCTGCAGGTTTCTCCCAGGAGTATTCCAGAGCTACCTCGCCTGTGTTTTGCAGTGTGAAACTAAAAAGCAAGAAGGAGGAATAAAAAAATGTCCAAGAAGTATAAAGCAAATAGTACAGTAATATTGTCTGATGGACTCCTGATACCACTTTCTCCTGAGGAGCATCTTCCCCAGGCAACCCAGCCATGCTCAGACTGCTGTCCTGGGTGGCCCAAGAAAAGATTTCAAAGTCTGGAAGTTTAAGAGAAAAGGGCCAACATGGTGCCCAGGACATTGAAGCTAAGGGGTTTATTCTGGACTTTAGGTCTTGGTTTGACTGCAAACTTATTCTGGAGCAGATGAGGACAGGTGACATACAGTGAAAGCAAACCCATGGCTGTTCTCAGCAGAAAGGTATGGCAGCATTGAGCCTCTCCTGAGCACCACCTCCTGCTTGGCTTTGCGTGCACGTAAAAGGGCCTGTGCTGGCTTGGGTGGGGTAGAGTTCTGGGAAGCAGTTCTGGGTCAGCCTTGGGCAAAGGCAGCTCCTGCTCACAGGGCCTCCAGCACTCACGTGGCTGTCCCTGTCTGGAAGGGCAAGGTACTCTTGAACTGAATCATGGTCGTGCTCAGCTTGAACTGGGTGTAGGCAACCACAGCACTGCGGTACACCTCCAACTCCTGGCTGCTCTCCTCCACCACAGTGTGAGCCGGTTCCGGGGCTGTCTCGACCACCTGCAAACAGAGGAGGGAAGAATCACTGAGCAGAGCCCAGAAAGTCAGGCTGAGAAGGGAATCTTCTGGCCTCCAAGATCACTAGAAAGGACCATTCACTTTTACTGCCCTGCAAAGATGACAAAACTGGGACTGCTTTGCTACAGTACTTGTTTCTGCCCACTGATCCAAGCGGTCACTACCACAGCTGTTAATACACCCAGAGAGACTACAGCTGCATTCCAGTCCCTGTACTTCAATCTTGCAGAGGGCCTGGCTTTTTTCCTCGTTCCTATAAATCCAGCAGGTCTCCAAACTAGGGTTAAGTTCCCCTGCTGGAGCTCTGTGGATGGAGAACCCCAAGAGTGAAGAGTTCTAGAAAGCACCTTTTTCTTCTTGTCTTAGAAGAAAGTGCTCTCCAGGTCTCCTGTCTGGAGCAACTGCTTGGAGCTGGGGATGGGCATTTTGGGATGTGAAAGATCTCACTAGGAAAATCTCCAACTGCAGATATTCTGATAGAAAAGAGGATGGTTTAGAGGCCTTAAAATGGTCCAGAAACTCGGAAAGAACCTCCACCCAAGATGAGTGTGTTTGGCAATAATGACAATGAAAGTAAGACTCTTTGGAGATGATCCTTCTCCAGACTCCTTCGTAGAGTCATGCAGTGCCTGGGCTACACCATGATGAGATATCCCACACCAAATACAGAGACCACAACTAAATTCTCATGCAGACAAAACTTGGAGTTCACCAGAACATGCAGGAGAAGTGTATTTCTCTCCACTTCAAAAGAAGAGACAGAGTGCAGCAGACTAAATTCCTTGTTGGTAAAAGGGCACCAATCAGCTGAAGAGATTTCTAACACCGTAAAATGGGATAAAATCGTAAAACATTGCCTTCCATTCTACATGGGCTGCAACACTTGTGTTTGTGGCCCAGACTGAGGCTTTGGGTGTGGCTGAAGGTCTCTTATCAAAAGGCTTCCTCCTCTCCTGTGTGTGTATCCGGTCACTGTGCCTCCACCTCTCCGTTCAAATGCGCTGCTGGTGAACCTCATGGCTGTCCAATGTCCAGAGGAAGCAGGAGCTGCTCAGCCAGCAGTGATGGTGTTCTAGTGGTTCTTTTTGTAAAACCCGGGTTGGCTTTTCTTGCCATTTTGCTTCTTACCTGCTTTATTTTAGGCCGCGTGGCGGCTGCCGGGTCTTTCCTGGTGGTATCCTTCCATGTGACAATGCACATTTGGTCATCCCAGTCAGGAACCTTCTTTTGTGGCAGCTCAAAGTTGACCTTGGTCATCTTACATTTCACAAGGGGCCTCCTGAAGGTGGCTGGGACATCTGATTTCAAGATCACTGTGATGTCCTTGGCACAGCCAGGATGGAGGTGTCCCACCTAGGGAGAATCAGGGAGTCAAGACCAAACTGGAAGCACTGCCAAGGGCAGGACTGACAGCAAAAGGGACTGACGGACGTGGTGAGCAGCTGTGCCAGGAATCTGCACCTCAGAGTGGATTTAGTGAAGTTTGATAGACAAAAGTATGAACAGAAGGTGCCACCTCCCGTAACATGAAACCTTTTCTGCAAGGCTGGCAGCCTTGGCCCAGCCAAGCCAGGGACTGCATCTCCCACGTGGCACTGGAATGGGCTATCCGTGGTATGTGAGCACTCCCTGCCAGCTCCTGGGAACACCAGGGCAGGGCCTGAGCAATGGGGAAAGGCAGAGCAGTCCACGCTCACCTTGGGGGAGAACAGGAATGGGGCATCTGCCTCCCACTCAAAGCGCATGAACTGCTTAAGGCTGCGGTTGGTGACGGCGAAGGTCCTGTAGCAGCGCTTCCCGACAGGACAGTCCCCAAACTCGATGTGATTCACTCTGACAGCTGTTAAGGAGGAGAGCAAGGGATCTCAGCATGCAGGGAGCTCCACCTGCCCCCTGACGTGCACAGACACCTGCATGTTCAATGCTTCCTTGCTCCAAGCCTTTCCCCCTCTGAGAGGGAGCTCCCCAGGCAGTTTCACCACTTCCAGGGACACATCCCTGAGCCAGTGACGTGCAGCACAGCACACACTGCTCTGCATGCATGGCTACCACACCCACAGGCCACCAAGTCCCGTGGGAGACAGCCCAGGCCTGGCTAGAGGGAGGACACACATGATCAGATATTTTCCTCTTCCTTGCTCCACCTTGGCAGTCTCTCCTCTCTTACCATCAGTGATGTCTTTCTTCAGACTGCTCTTAACATTCCTTTCCTGTGTGTCATCCTCTAGTCCAAGCAGGGTGAATTCCTCCTTGTGGCCTTCACCCACCAGCTCTATTAGGGTCTCGTTAGAGTAGCTGTCCTTCACTAACACATGAGTCTTCCCTTCCAGATGTTGAGCCAGGGTGGGTTTGAAAATTACATCAAACTCAGTTGATTTCCCGGGACTCAGAAGGAAGAAAGGCTTCTTTGGGAGCTTGCTCGCTGCACAGCAATGGAAATCAGAGTTAGGTGGTACAGCTGCACAGAGGAAATATTTCCATAGCATACATGAGGAATAAGAGGTTGAAACCAGCTGCCTTCTAAGCACAGGTTCTACCCCCTGTGGTTCCAGAGTGGTTCCAGACCCTCTTCCTCTGTTCACAAGACGGCCACCTCCAGACACAGCTTAACCTCAGGCTGATGCCCAGCCCTCATTCCATCTGCTTCCAGCCAGCTCCAGCCATATGGAAAGCTGAGCCAAAGAGTGCTTTGGGCTTCTGCTGGCTGGCTGTGTGCTCAAGGGCTGTGTCTGTTCAGGCTGGTACCTTCCCACGTGCAGCAAATACCTCAGAGGGTCCCCTGAGGTAGTGGCAGTCCCCCACAACTCAACCCACCACGTCTAGAAGAACAGAACTTGCTACAGCTTGCTAGGAGGAGACCCTGCAAAAAGCCCCCAAGAAAAGCTTGGGGGACAGAGAGCCCAAGGAAAGAAACTGTGCCTAACATCTGGCTGCTGCTCAGAGAACCAAGAGCAGGGCACACGTTTTCCCTCTGTGCACAATTGCACTTCATGGTTAATGGATTTACCTTTTCCAATGAGTTCCTTTTTCACATCTCCAGTGTGGAATACCTTGACTGGGGAGGTCCTGCCTTTCAAGAAGAACATTCCATGCTCATCCTCCAGGAGTAACATAAACTGAGAAAAGAGAAGCCAGAGCACAAGGATACTGTGAGTCCAGGATGGCACAGGGACTGACACTGCAGAGCTGCTGGTCCCACACGGGAGGCCAGCGCCTCTCCCACTACAAACAGCACTTAGCACAAAAGTTAAGTCAAACCAGCCAGGGAAAAAAGGGCATCCAGAGGCATCTGGATAGAAGTGACACAGAACCAAACAGGGCAGAAAGTAATGAGCAGAATGTATTTAAACCACCTCTAAGTCTACTTAAAATGTAATAAACTGGGATCAAATACAATCTAATGGAACTGGGAAATCACACATGCCCATGAGAACAAAAGGTGACCTGAGAGACAGGGGAAAATACTCCACCACCTTTCTTGTGTTCAACTTAAAGAAGAAAGACTGGGCAGAAAATTTCCAAGAACTCCCTTCTTGGAGAACAGACGTCAGTCCTTGTTCAAAAAGAATTTCTGACACCTCTTTCCAGGTTTGCCATGTTCTTTGGGACCCTTCCCCTGTGCCACAAGCACTTGTTCCCAAACCAGACCATTCCTCGAGCAGGTCCTCCTCACCTTGACAGGTATGATGCCATCGTTACGGGTGACCAGAGGGAGCACCTCTGAATCCCACAGCTGGAGCCTCTTGAAGCGCAGCACGGCGTTTCCCCTCTCGCTGCGAGCACTTGAGCACACGACTGTCAACCGCGGCTCGTGCCCCTTCCCGCTGATGGTGAAGGTCAGGATTTGGGGTTCAATTCCCACAGAGCTGCAGGAGAGGCACAGAAACAATTTCAGCTGGCACTAGCCCACTTCTCACTGGGCAAGCGAAGCAACAAGGGCCACCCACAGTGTTTTCCCTGCCTGGTGCTCCTGTACCCCACAACACAGCCCCCCACCAGCCTCTTCCCAATCCACTCAGGGCCATTCACAAGAGGAATCTGCTCCAAAGAGCCAGAGCCTTCCACAATAACACTTAAAAATAATTTCACTTAATTGAATTATGCAGCACAGCAGGTAAATGAGAAGGCACCAGATGAGATATGGCAAATCCCCTGGCTGCAGTGAGATGAGACTTATGCAACGAGCAAAAGCACAGCATGAAAGCAGTACAAAAGCAAGAAGGCAAATAGAAATGATTGTCACTAGCAGTAAAGATCTTTTCCAAGAACAGTAAAAAAGCAATTGCTCATTAGAAATTAGACTTCTCTTGCTCCAATTCAGCCACTAAAGGGTTGAGGAAGGGCAGGTCAAAGCCCCAGTTCACAGGTCCCAGGGCAGAGGAACTGGGCTCCTCTTTCATACCAGCTCCAAACACTCACATAAAATAGCTTAATGAATGCCAGGGGGTCACACAGGATCACTTAATTTTACAGAAACAAAGAGAAAACGTGACTGCTGACTTGCTGGCACAGAAACTGCTTCATCTAAGCCTTTGTCGTTGGAAACCCCCAGCTCAGCTGCAGCACATCTCAGTAACTTGCGGTTGGCCACCTGTACTATTTCCCTGTCTTCACAGTTCCTCACACAGGCTAAACCATCAGCCTCATTCTCCTGCTCTAAGGGCTATTGGCTCCCAGATCATCTCATGCCAAGTACTCTGCCTAAGGCTACTGACAGCATTAGCGCTAACAAGAGGTCTGTGCCTTCCCAGGGGAGAGGCAGCTATCAGTGAGGCCTCCCCCAGTATTTCACAGGGTCAGTTACCCTTTTGGGATGACAAGGGAAGCCTTGAAAGTGCAGTTGTAGTTCTGCTCCTCTGGTGGGGTGAAGGTCACCGTAGCAATGGCATAGGATGAGCCGGCAATGGACATCTTGACTGGATACAACTTGAAAATGTTTTCGATAGGGCTTTTTTCCTTGAGGGAACCCAGAGAGCAGTGTTAGGAGGAAACACCTTTCAACATGACGCAGTTTTATCCATAAATGCATTAATGAGAGCAGTCCCAGACACTGTGTCTTCCTTCCTGCTTCCCTGGGCAGGCTCCCTCCCTCCCAGGGAATGCCGACTTTGTGCTGAAGCACTGTGTGTTTTGAGGGCTGGCAGCTGCCCCAGCCTATCTGGGAGGTGGGCATTGCATGGAAAACCCTGCAAATGACCTAGAACTGGCCTTCAAGGAAAAGGAAAAGCCAGGGAGCCTGAGAAAATGCTCTGCTTGGAGTTCTGGCATGTCAATTCATAACTGAGAAAATGCTCTTCTTTGAGCCCTGGCATGTCAGGTCATAACATCCCCTCTCTGTGTGTGCTTCCCAGAGAGGTTCAGAAGGATTCACTTCTCCCACCGAAGACCCAGAGGTGTGAGCCAAAACCAAGACATGCAGAATTCCACACAACTGCTCCCTGGTTCTGCTGCCCTCCCCTGCACTTTGACCTGCACTGAGCTAGCCTTGTCTGGGCCACAGGATCAATGCACCTGGAGAACAAAACAGGCTCTCAAACGGCCCTTAGAGGGCAACCACCTCCTTGGCCTTCTGTTCCACCTTGGCCTCCTGTTCTTACCTCTCCAGACAGCGGTTTGATGGAGAGGACCACGTCACATGGCAGATGGCGTGCGTTGTAGATACTGAAATGAGCTTCAGCCTCTCGCCCAACCTGAATATTGCTGAAGATGAATCTGTTCTCATCTGTGACGAACAGGCCGGCGCCTTTCACCGACTGCATCTTCTGGACGAGGTCGCTGCTGCTGCAGATCGGGTAGTCCTCAAAGATTGATGTGACGTCCTCAACAAGTGCTGTGGACACACCAGAGGGATGAGCACGGAGAAGCCTCCCTGATGTGTTTATCTGGGCCCTGCTGGCCTCTCAGAAGGCTTGATAAGCCCTTTCTGCCCGGGTGACTGCTAAACCCAGCCTTGGGTGGGGGAGCTGGCTGAGGATGGAGCTCAGTCAAACTCAGCCTTAGAGAGCATTGCTTTCCTTTTATCCTTCCATGCATCCCTCTCAGCTGGGAGGGATGAGTCCACTGGTGGACTCGAAGAGGGCTGGAACCTCTGAGGATTTTAAGGAGGGAACCCAGGCCTAGCATGGCTCTCTGTCCAAGCAGCAAGTTCAGGTGCTGATCAGCAGCAGGTGTGACCAAGGGCACTGTGGGCAGTAGGTACCTGGGAGGCAGGACTTGGCAATCAGGGTAAAGGGAATGCCGAGGGGATTGTCCTTGGGGTCTCTGCCCGTGATGTCAACGTAGAGCTGCTTCTCACACGTCCCCTCCTGCCTGGCAAGGCATTCCACTGAGATCTTCTGCTGGCCCCCGGGACCGATGGAACCGGAGCAGGGGGACACCGTGAACATGCCAACACTGAGGCGACTCTGCAGGAAAAGTTCCAGGAGAGGCTGATGGCTAATGGCTGTGCCTTGAGCACCCCAGCAAGGAATATGTCCTGCCTTGGCCTCCAGCTGGGCCCAAGCACCCAGTCCCAGGGCAGGGAAGGATAACTCCATGGCCCAAAGGCAGCCCCAAGCTGAGAGCAACAAGCCAAGAGGAGCTGCAAGCCTGTCCCAAGTGGCAGAGAGAAAGGAGTTTGAGTGTGAAGACTGAAGGTGGTAGCTGTGATCCTCCAGAGGTAACAGAAATAGCAGAGAGCAGAAATAGCTGTGAGAAATGATGGGAGGGAACTGGGAAGAAGAAAAAGCAATGTTGTCTGAGCTCTGTGGACCGGGAGTTCAGTGGGGGATGTTTTTGCTTCTGTGGTGTGCACAGACCTACGCTGCCTCACAGCTAGCAAACACAGGACCTGCTCCCCTCTGTTGACCCCACAGCTCCAGGTCAGAGGCAGAGTACAGGACTGCCAGGGGGACTGAGCAGACACTGGACTCCATCCTGCAGACCATGTCCCACCCTGTGGCGATGAGCCCCCAGCCCGGGCACAGCAGCATCTTCTCACATCCCCTGCAGCAGCACTGCTGGGGAGCAGGAGTCACCCACCTGTGTCGAGGAACTTGATTTCCTTCTCAGTGAGCACTTTGCAGATTCCCCTTGCTGTAAACTGAGAGGAGAAAGCAGAGGTATCTGTCATGCTGAGCTCCCCTGCCTTCCTCTGAGGCTGAGGCTGGCCTTCCTCCTCAGAGAGGAAAGCCTTCCTCCTGATGGCTCCCAGAGAGCAACCTGCAGCTCCCAGTGCCGGACAGAGCAGCTCTATCACCAGCTTCACACTACACGTGGGGTACCGAGGTGCTGTTTTGCTCCCTCTCCCCAGACCAGGGATGCAGATGGACAATAGCCCAGGTCTCCTGGCTGCCTGCCCCTCACCAGCTGTGGGGCGCTGCCTCCTCACACAGGAAGGGTGGTGCAGGGCTTCTCCTACCTTTTGCTTTCCAAGGCTGATGCCTCCTCGGGTGCTTGGCGGATGCAGAATTTGAAGTTGAGTGTGCCTTTGTTGTCCAGCACGACCGTCAGGGTCTTCCTGGAGCCCTTGACCATGGCTCCGAAGTTGATGGGTGAGGCAGGCTCAACGCTGCACTTGCTGTACTCGGCTTTCGCCGACACCCTCAACGGGATGTTGCCGACAAGCTCGCTTCCTTCACCGGAGCTGGCATCTCTCACCTGCGTCCACAGGAAGGGAGGTGACCAAAGCAAAGAGGCCAGCCTCCACCCCAGCCCCCAGCCTCCACCCCAGGCCTCCAGTTTACCCCTCCCATTTTAGGCACCTCCTCCAGAGTCCACTTAGGAATTCTCAGCTCCACTTAGGAAGCCTCCCAAATGGTTTTGAAAGACTGTTTGTGTATGTAGGAGAGAGGATTCTCCAGTCAAAGCCCTCCTTCCATTAGACACCTGTGGGAACCCAGGGAATATCCCCCTGTCTGCTCTGGAGTGCTCTGACTCCCAGGAAAACACTGACTTTGACCCTCATTCATGGAGAAAACTTCCAAAGCCTCAAGGTAAACTAGAGACCACAAAAGTGTGAAACAGATTGTAGAGAGTACTTTAGTATGTCACATAGGGGAGAAATTTAGGTTTTACCATTTTTAGTATGTTATAGATGGGTTCAAGATGAAGGATATAGGGTGTTGTCTTGAGTTCCTTTCTTCTTTCTTCTTCTTCCTCTTTCTTCTTGGGTTTAGGTGGTATCTTGTAATTAGGTAGAAAAATCTGCATTGCGGGTCGTTAGGGGTCAGTTATTGGGTTAGAAAGGGAAAAATGTCACTTCTTAATTGGGTAGTTTAGTTTTTGATTAGACTTAAAAAAACCTTGCAGCACGAGGTTGTTGGCCATTTTTGTGCTGTTTTCACGCATGCAAGGTCTGGGCACAGACAGTGTGCTGAAGTTTTGGTAAGATAACAATAAAACAAGAACCTGAAGACCAAAGAAGTCCAATGAGTCTCTCATTCCTGACACAGAACTGTTCCAGGAGGGTCTCCCCTGCCAGGGGAGCCCTCAGGGAGTTGACCAACTTGGGGCCCACAAACTCACGGGCACCTATCCTGTTTACGCTCCCAAAACACCATGTGATAACGCAGCCTGGCCCAGGCAGCTCACCTGACAGTACAGGATGGGTTTGTCCTTGAGGAGAATTTCTCTTGTGGGGTGGAAGAGCATCTCAACATCCACGCCAGGCTGGGAGGCAGTCAGCATGCCCGACTTAGGCTCAACAGTGAAGTGGGAGGCCACGTCTCGCATCCTGGGACCTGCACCGCCCAGCATGAAACTGGGGAGAAAGGGAAGGGATGGAGATCTCTGCAGCTAAAAGTATTGGTGCCACCAGCACAGCCTGGACTTTGCATAGGACCAGAAAAAAGGAAAAGCTCTGCTCAGGGAATCCTGGATCTTGACAGAGAGTGCAGACAATCATGAGGTTACTGCAAGAAAGCTCAACACTGAAAGTTTTCATTCATTTCTTTACAGAGTCTCAGAAAGAGAAAGGAGGTGACCATCAAAGAAAGGCAATGAATCTCAGCATTTCAGTGGCTGAAATTTTGGGGCTCTCCTTTGGGCTCCAGCTGAGCTGTGAAGAACTGTTGGTTTGTGGCTGGATTCTCTGGTGAAATAACTGATATTAGAGAGCCCAGGGTTTGTACTTACCACGAGGTAGCCAGCATGGAAACAGGTTCTAGCCATTGACAGAGGGAGAATTCAGGCCTGGGAATCTGAGGAAATGCTCACTACCAGGCAGCTGGGCTTACCTGTACTCAATGTTGTATGCCCCTTTGTTCTGTAGAGTCAGGACGTGCTTCGCATTATCGAGGACATTAATGGTTCCAAATTCCAAACTTCCACCTGGACCTGCGGAAAACCCACAGAGCGAGGTCAAACACGGTATTTGTGAGCTGCTGCAGAATACACCAGGTCACAAGCTACATGGAGGTCTTGGCACAAAACCCTTTTCAGTAAGTTTCCATTCTTGAAGGTGTTTTCCAGCTACTTGTCTGCCCTTTCTCTTCTCACTCAAAATATCTGCAGGCTTAGTAGCTAAGGAGCTCAGCTCCCATTTCCTCACTTCCAAGCACAAATCCAATTACTTCATATGCTGTGCTGAGCCTATGGGGCTTGCCAACTGCCTGTTCACGTCACTGCTGTTTCAGAGCCCCCAGATCCAATCTGCTCATGAAGCTGCACACTTCAAAGGTCAGAGGAAAGAGACTTAAGGCTGTCAGTGCCCTGACGATGCTTTATTCCACACAGCTTGCAGGGTATATGCTTTATGCATCCACGCCATCCTTGCATGCTGTCCCGTCCCATCCCATCCCATCCCATCCCATCCCATCCCATCCCATCCCATCCCATCCCATCCCATCCCATCCCATCCCATCCCATCCCATCCCATCCCATCCCATCCCATCCCATCCCATCCCATCCCATCCCATCCCATCCCATCCCATCCCATCCCATCCCATCCCATCCCATCCCATCCCAGTGCTTTGGTCACCCAAAGGTAATGCAGTGCACCTGCACTGCTTTGTTTAGGAGGCATCCACTGACCTTCAGGCATGTCAAAGCTCAGAGAAATGTTATAGACCTCTGCGGAGATTTTGATGTTTTCGGCCTGAACAATCCCCAGGATGTTTTCTGGATCTGAAACCTGAGGCAGCAAGGAACAAACACTGCTCAGATTGTTCTTTTGGTAGACAGCTTGTAAGTCCTTGTCTCTGCTGGCTGCTTCCCCTGTGGCCTCCCTGGCTTCACAAGCGTTGGAGGACGCCCGAACTTTGCTAACCTGTTCATCTCATGGGCTGCCCCAGTGGGATTCTGCCACAGTAAAACACCCTATCAGCCCAACTCTGCACTCTTCAGCAGGGAATGCTCTCTTGGAGAGGCACAGAGATGTAAGAACAACCACAAGAAGTGTGAGGTGTCTTAGAGCAGGTGGCATTGACAACCCTCTCCAATTGCTTAGCACCTTCTCTGAAATGCACACCTAAACCATGGGGAACAAAATCCCAGGGGGAGAGTTGTTGCACTGTGGAAGAGCTTCAGACAAAGTCCAATGTAGAGCCCACGCTGCAGTCTGTACAAGCAAACAACAACCTCCAAGCACCCACAGGGACAAGGTTGTGGTACAGGCTCAGGGTGCAGTGTCTGGTTATCTGGGGGGACGTGGATGCACTGCACGTTCTGGCAAACGCTGTGTAGAGGCAGAAGTTGGGGTCACAGCACCCTTGTGTCTGTCAGGTGCAGCTCTTCCTGCCCCTGCCCCCAGCAGCACACAGCCCCTCTCACCTCTAGCTGGAGAGTCTTCTCAATGCTGCCCATCTGCCCGGCCCTGAAATGCACTGTCACTTCAAACTCTGAGCGGGGATCAATGGCGCCGTTATCTTGTGACAAGGAGAAGTTCTCAGCAAGGTCATCCAGCCCACTGAGCTGCCAGGCCACGGGCAGCAGGGTGTCGTTTCTCAGGACCAAGGTCCTGCTGTCAGTGCTGCAGAGACAGGAAGGCACTTGGCATCAGCTGCTGGATGGCCACACCAGCCTGGCCACTGAATGCAACTTGGAGCAGCTCCATCCATGCCCTGGAAACCAGAGTCAAACGTTTTCTCTTTGTCACAAGACTTGGAGTGCTTGTGGGATGACTGACCTGTGCAGAAACTGCTTGTTAAAAGACAGCCCCAGGGGGCTGACCTCCAGCTTCATGCGCACCCCAAGGCAGCACAGGCTGAAGACCACTGGCTCCGGGTTCTTCCCAACGCTGCAGATGAGTTTGTCTTGCAGGAAGCCAGGGGAAGTGGGGTATGCCCAAATGGTCAGCTCCTGGACACGGCCCCACAGGAAGAAACAGAAAGAGCTCTGTGTGAGAGCAGGAGGAGCAGCCCCTGGGCACTTCTGCGTCCCTGCTCTGCCTGCCCCTCTCCTACCTGCTTCTGCTTTGGTTTCAGCGCCATGCTGGGAGGGTCCAAAAGGAACGTCTCTGCTTCCCCAGCATTCTCAAAGGAGAACTGGACCTCTACATCCATGGGGGAGCTGTTGAGGATGGTTATATTCTCCGCGTTGCCAGGACAGTTCTGGGCCTTGTACCTGTCCACAAAAGGGGAAAAGGCTGCAGAGCAGACTGTTGCCTTTGCCACACACCAAGGAGAGCACCGTGTGCACCCGAGGAAGTGATGCTGCAAGACCCTGCTCTAACAAACAAAAGTGAGAAATGGATCCCAGTCAGGGGCATGGCCGTGTGCTCGTCCTTGCCTTACTCTGATGCCTTCCCCAGCCCAGAAGCCTGATGATGCTCAGGCCACTGCAAGAGTTTTTAATACAATGTAAATTCAAAGGTGCCTAGAAAAATAACACTACACCAGGCACATGGGTTCTTTCCCCTTCTTTCTTGGGGGGCCTTCCCTGCAGGGTATAAGGAAAGGCTTTTGAAAAAATAGTTTAGCTAATTTCTTTCATAAAAGTCATGAAACTGCTTTGGATTTTATGGGTTAGCGCAAAGTCTGAGAAAGAAGCATAAAGCATCAATTCCCAAGAGCAATGCAAAAAGATAACAAATGATCCTTCTCTCAGGTGTGGACATTACTTTGGATTAAAAGGGTTAAAGAGGCAAACAGAAATCCCAGACCATCTATCAGTCTGGCTAAAGATTGTCTGTTTTTTAAAGTATTTTGATTTCATTTACTTGGGTTGTCAAAATAGCCCTTGCCCTCCAGAGCTCCCATGGAAGCCAGAACTTAATACTAAATGTCATTAAAAAGAAGTGACAGTAAAAGTAGAAATACACAATAGCTTAAATGACAAAGTGTTTAGGCAGACTTTACCCAGCAGTGAGGATGCATTGTCATTACAGGGAAATGTAATTCCTGCTGTACGTTACCCCCAACACCCATTGGCAGGTCAATAATAAAATCTTATTAATGATTACAGGTTAATGAAAGGTTTACAAAACCATCTACAGAATAATTGCTCAATCAGGCTACCTGCAGAGCTCAAAGCACTTCACAAACCACCATAAAGTTCATTTCCTAAAGGGTGAAGCTGAAATGTGGAGGGGGACAGAAGTTGCCCCCGAGTCACCTTTGGACCGGCAGCAGCAAGGGGGCCACCAAGGCACCCACTGGGCAGGCAGAGCAGCTCCTCCAAGGCTCATTTGCCTCTTTTCTGCTCACGTTCACACATCTGTGGTCCCTCAAACCCATGTGTCTCCCAGGACTCTGCCGGGGACTGCCCTGGGCTGTGCCACCAGGACAGCCTGTCTCCCCAGGCGTGTCACAAAAGTACAGGGCCCAGCAGGGAGCACGTACCACTCTCTTGATTTCCCACACATCAGCGGCCCAAAGTGGAATCGCTCTGTGCTTTCAACATACTCCTTGAAGATTATTTCATCTTCCTTCATGGTTTTCCTCCACTGTGGAAACACCACCCTGGGCAGAGAAGGCGGGGAAGGAAGAGCTATGAGATGCTCCGAGTAGGAAATGTCGTCAGAACGCCAAAACCCCTCCTGGAGGCTGAGGCACCATCTGCCTTGCCAGCTCCAGCACAGGAGGAGGTGCTGGGTGACCTCAGGCAGCACGATCTGCCCAGGCAGAAGCCCCAGGGGTCAGCCCTGGCTGTGGTTCAGGGGCAGCAGTGGTGTGGGGGCTGCCAGGGGCCAGCCTTACCGTGGGTCCTGGCTGATGCTGGGGTACAGGCCGGTGCCACAGCAGGGCAGCTCGTACGGGCGCTTTGTCTGCACGAGCTCAAACCTCAGCGTCTGCTCAAACTTCCCTGGCTTTTTGGTGGAGAAGTGAACCTTCGGTTCCACCTCACCGTGGGCAGGCACTACCCACCGGTACCGTTTCAGCCTGGCAATTAAAGAGGAGGCTTCAGACGTTGCTGAGAAGCAAACAAAACGAGGAGGGTGCACTCGCCATCCCCTGGAGGCACTGGCACAGGGTCGCCGTGGAGCTGGGGTCGATGGACCTTGTTTGGCAAGAGGACCAAGAAGCAGAGGCATCACCTCCTCCTGCGTGGCTCACCTGAGGAATTCTGTGGGCATTGAGGCACTTTCCATCGTGCTTTTGCTGCTTGTTGTGGGGGAATCCTGGGGACTTTCTGTTCTCTGTGTGGACACCTGGCTCTCCTTTGCAGAGCTGTCTCTGCTGGCCGCTTCACCCATCTTTGGTTGGCCCTCGGCAGAACCGCCCCTCATATCTGGGGCCTCGGCCTAAGGGGAGAGAGAAAAGGGAGAGAGAGGTGAGCCCTGAGGCATCCCCATCCTGGAGAGCAAAATGGGGCTTTCTTCACCAGCAGAAGAGAGAATAAATAAATAAGTCCACCTGCCCATGGACTTGGTCTTCCTTATTGGTGTTTCTTTTGCCTAGGACTGTTGGAATCCTAGATACCGAGAATTTTAAACTTTCTGTGCTAGAAGGCACAGACTTACAAAAGAGCACTGCATTTGACCTGAGGCTGTAGAGAAGACTTCCAGAATTAATTAATAACACTGAAATTATGAGTGTGTAGTTAGTTAGAAGTGTGTAATGTCACAAAGTAAAAAACTTAGGGTTTAAGGTTTTAGAATATAGAAATAAATATGAAGCAAGATAAAAGCTTTAAAGCAAAAGCAAATTCTTCACCTTCTTTTTCCTTCTTCTTCATAAAGTTAAGTAATGTACTTAGAAAAAAAGTCCACATTACAGGCTTTGAAAAATCAGTTATTAAGTTAAAATATAATAACCTAAGTATCATTTCTTAGTTAAATAATTTAATTTAAAAAATCCTCATAACAAAAAATAGTTAAACATTTTATACCTTACCAATAAAAAACTACAAAACTCACAGCCATGAAACTGTTTTGCTAATAAAAACTAATAATACCTAAAAATAATAAACACCTAAATACAAACATAAAATACCATCTCAAATACCTTCAATCCCAACCTCAAGAAAAAAAAACAACACCAAAAACCCAACCAAAAAACCAAAAAAAACCCAAAACAAACAAAACAAAAAACCCACCTAGGACAACCCTTCTCACTCAGGACCCTTTCCTCAAAGGAGGTTGATGGTTTAGGTGATTTTTTACCTCTTGCGGTGCCAGGAGGGTGAAGGGCTCCACACGCCCTGCAGGGCCCAGCCGCTCCTCTGGGTACTCCACTATGGAGAGCACAGCAGCAGGGGGAAGGGGAGGCCCGTCGGGATGCAGCCCCAGATGTTCCAGCATCTAAAACAGAAGAGGAAATCCTGCTTGTACTTGTGTCACCTTGATCCTCACAACTCCTTTAAAGGCACTGAGCTTTAGGCAGTGGGGTTTTTGATTTATATGAATAGAAGTGCTTTGTTGTGCCCGCTGGGGTGAGCGGGCTCCAGAGCAGAGGCAACAGCTACAAGCAGGACCAGGAGAGAAACCTCTATGGGCATTCTCAGTTTAGTCAGAGAGAAAAAGAGAGGTTTCTGCCAGGCTAGAGCCTGGGAAAGAGTTGCAAAGGAATGTAAATAATCCTCTGTCTCTCTTGTTGTTCACATTGTTTATAGATATGTTCTGCCACTGTGCATCATTCACTGCACACCAATGGTGTGAGATTTTTTACTTTAAGACCACTGAAATTAGTCTGCACGATGCTCTCCATAAAAAGAGTGATGTATTTGAAATGAATCAGTTGAGTTGTGCTGTTAGAGTTCACATCCTCTAACTCCAGCCTTCTGGAGTTCTCTCATTCTCGTCCTGCCTCAACAGCGACAACCCTCTCCGGAGTGCCTCAGCTGATGAAAACAATGACCATGAGCTGCCCTGTCCTGTTCATAACGATTTCCAGGCTGGGAAACTCTGAACAGACAGGACACTTGTACACAGAGCACTGCCACTTCCTGCCCATCTGAGGGATGGTGATAACCTCCCCATCCACACAGATGTCATTGTGGAACATCATCAGGGGCCTGGACAAGGCTCTGTGCCATTATCACCTGTGGGGACACAATGCTCCAGGGCCCACGACCACGGCAAGCTCAAGATCTGAGCCTTGCAGGGTTTTACCTGGTCCTCCCTCGGGATCTCCCCCATCGTGGCCCTCGGATCTGTGACCTGCATGTCCAGGCACAGCGCCCCGTCACGGCAGTCTCTGACTGCCCCTTCTGCAATTTCACTTTGCGCCTCCAGCTGAAAGGACTGACGACTCCTTGGGCCTTCACGGTTTTGTTCAGGCTTCTTCTCCACCTTCTCCTGGGGCTTATTGGTCTTCTGAGCAATGCGCAGGTGGCACAGGTCAGCCCGAGAGACAGGATTGCCAGTCGCTTTCACCATGGGCTCAGAATAGCTCGTGACAACCTTGTGATATCCTGCAGTGCAAAACCAGGGGGAAAAGTCAGCCTCCTGCCCACCTGTGATCCTCATCCTCCTCCACATCTCCTCAGACCCTGGGAAAGGAGACTTGGTGAAAGCAACATGAGCTTCTTCTTTTGTTGCTAGGAAGGTGCAAATATAAAAGAGCCAGTGATATTAGACCTGGCTGAAGAACTCATCCAATCCTAGTCTTTATGGCTAAGGGACACAAGGGAATATCCTGATTATTCCCCCAGTCTGGCAGGCAGATAGGGGCTTGCTTTGGCTACACTCAGGGTTGGGATACCACAGCCCTTCACCCAAGACTTTCTCCACCAAGCTGGAGAACAGGCAGTTGCTAAAAGCATGGGCTTGCCCTGGAGAGCAAGGTGAGAGTTCAGGGTGTACGGAATGGACTCCCAGCTGTGACCACAGTCAAAACAGACACTGCCAAACCCTCACTGTTTTTCTGACCTGGTGCTGCCTTGCCCTTGTCCTCAGCCTCAGCCTCAGCCCTGACCTTGGCCTTTGCCATGGTCTTGAGTTCTGCCTGCTGAGCCTTCAGCCTCTTCTGTGCTCCATAGTCCTCCAGCACCTTTGGGAGCAGCGTCCCACCCACGGCGCGTGGAGGCATTAAAAAGCTCTTTTGGTTCTCAGAGCCCAGTGCCATCCGCAGGATCTGTGTGTGTAGGGAAGAGAAACCATAGCAAGATTCCTTTTCTTGCCTTTTATCTCACATACTCAACAAACCCGATTTCTGTCTCCTCCCTTCCTCCCAACAACACAAACTATTTAATTCCTCCCACAGCATGTCGGCAGAGCTGGCCTTGCCCTGGGGATTGCCTCCATCTCCTGGCACAAGCCCGGCAATGCTGGAGTGCTGAGAAGCTTGGGCAGCACGTACATGGGGACCAGACCTGCCTTCTCACCTTCACCTCCTCAAAATCCAAGGAGTAAAACTCAATGGGGAAGCTGCATGGGTTCTTCACCACCGCGGTGGCCTCCACCCCATCGCTGTCCACCAGCACCCATCCCATATTTAGTGCTGGGGGGCTGAACTCCAGCCGTGGCTCCAGACCTCGTCCTGAGAGGTGCAGCTTTAAGTGATTGCTGCTCCCACACATGTTAAGCTTCAGTTCATTCTTGTAAGACCTCTGAAAAGAGAAAAGTGCAGAAAACTCATCCATGAAGTCCCGAGTGACAGGACCCCAAATACAACAACGCTTGCCCCAAGGTCAGGGTGTTATCAGTTCCTCCAAGGTGAACAGAAACCAGGTATTTACTTCTGCTAGGGACTACAGCACCTGTGTCCTGGGTCTAGTAACTGGCATGAATCTTGGTGTGCACTGAAACTGGGTATTTGGGTATCAGATGGATGTACAAAGATTGTCAGGCATTTTCATCTGGTCATGCAGGAGTGCAATGCTCATGGGAAGGGCCCTTGGGGTTACAGTGTCCAGGCACTGTCCTGGCACTGCTGCATCAGGCAAACACCAACTCCAGGAGAGGGGCAAATCAGCTCTCGCTGGCCAGAAATAAGGGTCATCTTCCCTGCTTAGTGTTTGGCTCCGGTCCAAGCCAGACACAAGATGGTTACATCTCTCCAGCAATTAAAAGATCCCTGGGAATGTTGGTGAGCACAGAAGCACTTGTGTCCATGCTGGTACACACTGCCAGTTTCCGAGACCCAGCGGCCACAGGCAAACTACTTTTGGGAATGCTCCATCCTTTAAGTTGAATCCCCAGCTGCACGGCAATGTGCAGGCAGGCCAGAGCCCCAGGGACTGCTGGCAGCACAGGTGACTGTCCTGCCGTGCCCAGGAAGGTGTCTGGTGGCTGATTTGTCTGTCAGTCCTGCAGCAGGATGAGCCCAGCCTGGCCATTCCAGGATTATCCCCTGCGAGTGTCTGTGACGCCGAGTGTCGCAGGTGCAAATACAGCCAGGCAAGGGGCAGGCTGAGGGGAGTTGGGCACATCCCCCCCATGTGCTGAGAGGCAGCCCTGGTGCTCTCTGTGCAAGCTCCCTGTGGGCATTTCAAAGCACATCTCACGGGAGGGCTCTCTGGGGTGAACTGAGCCACGCTGAGTATGTGTGGCAGCACATTTCTCCTTGTGCTGCCACAAGTATGGGCTTTGCAGAAAGCTCCCTGTGAAGGCAGAGCTCATACCACACTCTCTGCACCAGGCCCTCATTTCCAGATAGCCCTGACAGGCCTCCCGGGCTGACACCTGCCAGTCTCACCTCCTCCTTGGGTGTAAACCAGATTTGTAAGTTCTGCCACCGTTGTGGATCAAGGGTTCCTTGGGAGGGCATCACTTCAAAGGGACAGGGCTCATCCTCTGGCGCCCGCTGCTTCTGGCGTAGGGCTGGTGTCACGTATTTGTGCTGATCCTTCTGGGCACAGAAACCAACCGTGTGAGGTCTCCTTGGTCTGCGAGGACAGAGCCTCACTTCCTGAGTGCTCTGAGACACTGATGCAGTGCTAAGAGCACCCACAGCCAAACCAAGAGCGGCCCCCATAGCTAGAGCTGGAGGGAAAACCTGTAGACAGGGCAGGCAGACAGGGAACTACTGTCCTCAGAGGAGGAGGAATGGGTGAAGATGGCAGAAAAGCAAAGCATCCGCTAATGGAACAGGCTCAGGCAAACCAGCCTTGATCCAGACCCTCAGAAGCTTCCTCCAGCATGCTGTAGACCCAAATGCTCAGGCAGCCACAGGAGCAGAAAGGGCAAGAGACACAAAGAAACCCAGCCAAGAAGTTACGTGTTCAATGTTGCCTGTGCTTTACCTTCAGAACAGGCTTGATGGACCATTTGCAGGGGGCTTGGAACCGGTTGTAGAGCCGGATGGTCTCAACCTGGCACTGCCA